ACACCATGGCTTGTTTTTTTCATATTAACCTGTGTAGTGTGGGAGTTTCTCCACTGCAAGGAGTTCCTGGGCTTACCACCACCGGAGTTCCTCTTTAATAGGAGCTTCTCTAACCCACAGAAGCCCTTTAAACTCCATTGTACACTGGGAAAAAATAAAAATCACCCAAAACCGCATTCACTTTGCCTTCCATGATGACAACACACGTCGGCAACTGGCAAAATTTGGCCAAAATGTTCTGATATTTACCAAAATTGGGAAATGTTCTGAGTCAAACCTGATTTTGCTCCTCCCTAGTCTGAATGTTACCCGGGCAAGATTCCTCCCTTGAGTATTGCGACACAAGAGGATCCTCGGGGAGTCATAGGGATCTGGGGTGAGCTGCACCAACTCGGCCTCCACTGACCAGTTTTCGGTGGACTTGTCCTTTAATCCCACTTCGGGGAGCCCAGTGATTTCTTCATACGTGTGATGAGAACACTTTCTATGGTCCTTGCCTCTAAACATCCCCTCAGTACAGGGTAACAATACTGTTAGTTTTAGGTTCCTGAGATCCGTTACACAAAAAATCATAGCGGTCACAATGGCCACTGTAAGCCTCGTGTATCAAAGTGATAGTACAAACTAGGGATTTTATTTTTCGGTACTCGCCGATACCAAATACCGAGTACCGGAAGTTGCATTCGGGAAGCCGGGCGGCGTGTAAAAACTCGCCACCCGGCTTCCCGATTAACAAGGAAGCCGTCCCCATGCTTCTCGTCACTTGTGACGTGAAAGCATGGAGCCGGCTTGCTGGCCAATCATGGAAGCCGGGCACCGTTTAATGACGCGCTGCCCGGCTTCCTGATACAGGAAGTATCGGGCTAGGCATCGGAGCATTTGGGCGAGTACGAGTACTCGCCCGAATACTCGGTATCGGCGCCGATATCGATACTAGTATCGGTGCATCCCTAGTACAAACAGCGGTTGCCTTTTACTAGGGATGCACTGATAACGATACTAGTATCGGTATCGGTGCTGATACCAAGTATTTGGGTGAGTACTCGTACTCGCCCAAATGCTCCGATACCTAGCACGAGTACACCATCGCCATCATGTCAGTATAAGGCGGGACTCCAGGCATATAGCAAAATACAATACACAGGAGCTGATTTTACGTTGCAGGTCCTGTCCCTCCACCACCCTGAGACTGGACAGTGAAAGGAGAAACCGGTGAGCTCCTCTCTCCTCCTATCAGCATGTTCCTTGTGATCATTGCAGCACAAATAACTGGCTCCTTGTGCTGCTTCTACCTCTCCCGGGGATTGCAAGAAGCTGATACCAGGTCCCATTCAGGTACTTACACAGTTAATGAATACAGAGCAGCATTGGGGCCTGTGTTGACGGACTTCGGTCTTGAGTTGATGGAATGAGTTTGAGAAGCTTCTGAGATCATTCAGAAATCATTGATCGGTGCGTTTCACCTGCAGTTGACCTCCTTCTGAACTGCCTTTGACCTGCTTCAAGCCGGGTTTGCATACCCATAGACCTACATGGGAATGCAATGCCCGTCTGAACACCGAAAGCCCCCTTCATACCGGCCCTTCATTTGTGCTTTTATATCTCCCTGGGGGTCAGCTTTCATGGCTTACATTCTAAATGTTATTTTTAAGGAAGGGTTTGAATCTGACCAGAGGATGTAGGGAAATAATGATGACAGCTGTTTGCCCATCAAAACCGAAACGAGTCAACACTGCCATGGGGAAAGCACAACTGGTATGGAGGAGCGCTTTGTTTTCTTGTGTCGGGGCAGGCTGCAGTTTTTGTCTTTCTTTGGTGATGGGGCCAGAACTGGAGGTACAGGGTATCCTGGAGGCCAGATGAAAGCAGGTAAAGGAATGGGTTCTCCTAAAAAGTACCCATCATCTGAAGAAGAGGAGGAGGAAGTGAATGATGGGTAGGTAAACGTTCTAGGGTCGTTCCCTATAACAACCAATATGAGTCAACACTGCCATGGAAGAACACAACTGGTATGGAGGAGCTCTTCGTTTTTTTGTGTCAGGACAGGCTGCAGTTCTTGTCTTCTTTGGTGATGGGGGCCGGAAATGGAGGTACAGGGTATCGTGAATGGTGGGTAGGTAAAACCTATAGGGTCTTTCCTTGTAATAACCAATATGATTCAACACTGCCATGGAAGGACACAACTGGTATGGAGGAGCCCTTCGTTTTCTTGTGTCAGGACAGGCTGCAGTTCTTGTCTTCTTTGGTGATGGGGCCGGAACTGGAGGTACAGGGTATCCTGGAGGCCAGATGAAAGCAGGTAAAGGAATGGGTTCTCCTAAAAAGTACCCATCATCTGAAGAGGAGGAGGAGTAAGTGAATGATGGATAGGTAAATCTTCCAGGTCCTTTCCCTATAAGAACCAATATGATTCAACACTGCCATGGAAGGACACAACTGGTATGGAGGAGCTCTTAATTTTTTCGTGTCAGGACAGGCTGCAGTTTTCGTCTTCTTTGGTTATGGGGCTGGAACTGGAGGTACAGGGTATCGTGAATGGTGGGTAGGTAAAACCTATAAGTTCTTTCCCTATAACAACCAATAGGAGTCAACACTGACATGGAAAAACACAACTGGAATGGAGGAGCCCTTCGTTTTCTTGTGTCAGGACAGGCTGCAGTTCCTGTTCTTCTTCTTTGGTGATGGGGCCGGAACTGGAGGTTTGAGGTATCCTGGAGGCCTCATGAAAGCAGGTAAAGGAATGGGTTCTCCTAAAAAGTACCCATCATCTGAAGAGGAGGAGGAGTAAGTGAATTATGGGTAGGTAAACGTTCTAGGGTCTTTCCCTACAAGAACCAATATGATTCAACACTGCCATGGAAGAACACAACTAAAATGGAGGAACTCTTAATATTTTTGTGTCAGGACAGGCTGCAGTTTTTGTCTTTCTTCTTTGGTGAAGGGGCAGGAACTGGAGGTGCATGGGATCCTGGAGGCCTCATGAAAGCAGGTAAAGGGATGGGTTCTCCTAAAAAGTATCCATCTTCTTCATCGTCTGAAGAGGAGGAGGAGGATGAGGAAGTGAATGATGGGTAGGTAAACCTTATAGGTTCTTTGAGTTCAGTACTGAGAGGTATACTGAAAGTGACCCGGGGACCTGTCCGGGTTTGACTTCTGAGGTCAGGTAGAGAGCGTCTTTGGGCCGACTCACGGGTGAACTGAGGTGGCGGCCCTCTCAGGCTGGAGTGTATGGACCTTACGGGTGGCATGTGCGAATGGCACGTCTGTGGCGTCCGAGACTGATCAATCATGGACACAGATCTCCTTCCCCCTCCCATTCTTCTCTCCCCGAAGCTGTCACCTTCCGGGTCCGTGTTTGTAGAAGTGCCGATATCTCTCGTCTCTTTACGCGGAGACACATCTGATTCCGTTTGGCTGATGGAACGCTCGCTGCTTGCCCGGGCTAAGCTGCAGGCCCGGGAGCAATAGATTTGGCCGTGACGGGGCAGGAAGGGTTTACCGAGAAGAGACTTTCCGCACCTTCCGCAGCAAAAGCAGCGATCCGTCGCGTGCCAGTGCTGTGCTCCGTGTGATAGCTGACCTTCGTCCACACCTAAAGGCAAGAGCAATTGTAGAATTATCACCGAGAAGTCGCTTTATATATAAAGTGTATAACATATAAGTAATTTGCATGTTAGCCAGGGTTCTTTCCAGTAAGAGGGGTTAAAGTAGGACTAGCACTGGTCTACGGACTAGGGTCTGGTATTTTCCACTTTCTGTAACAGGCCAAGCTGTCCAGCAAAAGTGACAGTACGGGGCTTGGAAGAAACCATATAACACTGGCAGGGTTGCTTACAATGGTCAGCTTTTATTTATAGGATTAAAACCTTTTATATAAACAATAGCGGAGCCATGCCCATCAGATCATGTTAAGTACAGATCTGCGGAGGGGGAGTGGGATCACTTAAGTCAGGGGTGGGGGCTAAAAAAAAAAAGCATAAGTGCCCTTTGTTTTAAAGTGACAATGGTGGCAACAAAGGTCAAGTGTACTTATCCTTTAAGCTGCTTCCACTTTCTGTATCTGGCCAAACATTAGGAGCATAGGCCACCCAGGGAAGGGGAAGATGCTAAATAGCTGCCGTCACTTGCCGTGCTTTCAGCTGCCAGGACTTCCTTCCCTTACAGTTCATGGGGCCTTCGTCACAAATGTTTTATGAATGATAAAGCGATTTTTTTTACAATGCTTATGTTGTTTCACGGCCTCGATAATGTCAGAAACGGCTATTATTAAAGGAGAACTATGAGATGAGTCATTTTCACTCACCTCATAGTTCTAGCCGACCTGTGACAATGAGACTGTCACAGGTCGGCTCAGTAGATCGGGAGGTGAGCGAACACATACCGGCGTTCGCTCACTTCTCGATCCTGTCATGGCTCTCTGCCGTGACAGGGGAGGGGCTGGATTGCCCCCTCCGATCCGCCAGCGCTGACTGGCAGAACGGACGGGAGAGGGGGCGGGTACAGCTGGCTCTGCCTCTAGATAGGCAGAGCCAGCTGTCACTCACGCAGCTGGGCGGATCCCGACGTCCAGGTCGGGATCCGCTCCGGCTGCGGCGTCTCAGTATACCGCGAGCTGTAGCTCCCTATATACTGAGCTTAGGGTGACGGGAGGACGCTAGTTTGTGTCCTCCCGTTACCCTAAGGAGAACTATGGGGGAAGAGCCCTGATCCCGTAGTTCTCCTTTAAGTATGAGATGTAAAGCAGAATGTTTCTTACTGATGCTTTCGCCGCAGCTGTCACAGTACTGGGAGAACAGCCTCTCGTAGCACGGGCAGCAGTACAGCCGACGCTCTTTCATTATGTGGCGCTGTCCTACCAGGGCGCATTCGCACTCGAAGCAGCAGAAGTGTCTGGTGTGCCAGTGGTAGCCCTCAGCCTGAGTGCACTCCAACGAGAAGATCACCTGGAAGAGGAAAAAAGATTTACAGGCTATATACTAAAGATTCATAGAACTCCAGACACAGAAACGTTCATTAATATACGGTATATCCTCGTTGGTCACAAAGGACATCAATCAACTTGTGTGCACCAAATGCCTTTGCAAACCCAGCCATTAACTGTGCTGTACATAGTCTGTGCAGAGAGCAGAGCTGTGGGAGGGGCACAGCAGGCTCCACCCACTACAGGAGGGGGTGGAAATAAGACCAGTCACCCTCCACAAGGAGAGAGCGCAGCAGTGAGCGGTCTTTATTACAGGAGGGGGCGGAGACAAGACCAGTCCCCCTGCACAAGGAGAGAGCGCAGCAGTGAGCGGTCTTTATTACAGGAGGGGGCGGAGACAAGACCAGTCCCCCTGCACAAGGAGAGAGCGCAGCAGTGAGCGGTCTTTATTACAGGAGGGGGCGGAGACAAGACCAGTCACCCTGCACAAGGACAGAGAGCAGCAGTGAGCGGTCTTTATTACAGGAGGGGGTGTAGAGAGATAAGACCAGCCACCCTGCACAAGAAGAGAGCGCAGCAGTGACCGGTCTTTATTACAGGAAGTGGCGGAGACAAGACCAATTACCCTGCTCAAGCAGAGAGAGCAGCAGTGAGCGCTCTTTATTACAGGAGGGGCGGAGACAAGACCAATTACCCTGCTCAAGCAGAGAGAGCAGCAGTGAGCGCTCTTTATTACAGGAGGGGCGGAGACAAGACCAATTACCCTGCTCAAGCAGAGAGAGCAGCAGTGAGCGCTCTTTATTACAGGAGGGGCGGAGACAAGACCAATTACCCTGCTCAAGCAGAGAGAGCAGCAGTGAGCGCTCTTTATTACAGGAGGGGCGGAGACAAGACCAATTACCCTGCTCAAGCAGAGAGAGCAGCAGTGAGCGGTCTTTATTACAGGAGGGGGCGGAGACAAGACCAATTACCCTGCTCAAGCAGAGAGAGCAGCAGTGACTGGTCTGTATTACAGGAAGTCTCACACGGGATCACTGCACAGATCTGGAAGAAATACACATTATTTAGACAATACGGCTTTATTCACACTGGCGTGGACACCCATACGTCATGCGCGCCCATGTAGAGACCTGCATGCTGTATGGATGTGCATGCCCATTTGAATGGGGCCTTCTGGTTTATCCCGGAGCTCAGCTTTAAAGAGCCCCTGACAACACAACCCCCCGTCACCAATACACACAGGCTGGCAATCTGGACCACGTCCACTAACAAGAACCAGACGGAGGTCCTCAGTTCCAAAAAGTTTGGGCTAAAGACACACTTTAGAGGAAGGAGCTCACACCCACCTCATCGCACGCCGAGCAGCGCGGCCGTTGAAGTTCAGCGTGGTGGCGGCCGCAGTACACTTGCCCGTCTTGGTAGAAGTAGAGGAGGTCACACAGGAGCTCTGAGCAGCGGGCGCACGTGAAGCACTGAGGATGCCAGCAGGAGCCCAGGCCCGCTCTGGATGCAAATATTGCCACATCGCCGCCACTGATCTGGTGACCACACTGCAAGAATGATCACAGAGAACGTCTGTTATCATTAATATTCTATATCATTGTATATAACTACAGAGCAAGCTGAGCGTAGCATCATGGACCTCCTCGTATCAGACTCCGCCCATTACTGCATTCTACACCTCGGCACATTTATCCAAAAGTGATAACTTTCATTTTAGGTGATTAAAGGAGAACTATGAGGTGACCGAAAATCACTCACCCTCATAGTTCTAGCCTACGTGTGACAATGAGACTGTCACACGTCGGCTCAGTAGATCGGGAAGTGAGTGAACGCATACCGTCACTCGCTCCCTTCTCGATCTATCCCTGCAGAGAGCCGTGACTGTCACTCACGGCTCCCTGCAGGGATTCCCCCCCCCCCTCCCCTGTCCCATCCTCCAGCGCTGACTGGCGGAACAGACGGGGGAGGGGGCGGGTACAGCTGGCTCTGACTCTAGATAGGCGGAGCTGTCCCTCATGCAGTTGGGTGGATCCAGATAGTAATGTCGGGATCCGCCCCGGCTGTGGCGTCTCAGCAGTGGCGTCGCTACAGGGGGGCAATTGCCCCCCCTAGGTTTTCACTTGCCCCCCCGTGTGCCCGCCCGCCAGGGATCGGCAAGGTGTCCTTGCAGGGTCCGCCGCGGTCGTACGGAACAGTTGGTACGTCCCAACACCCCCGTCCAATTTGATGTTTTGGTACCTTCCTGCCCACGT